CACGTGCTGTGCGTTTTTTTTTTGTTCGGACAGCATATATTTTTCAATTAGATACAAAATTTTAATAAATTCTATTAATTTATCTCGCAAATACGTACATATCTACTTCGCACTTCTAACAGCTATATGTAACACAAAGAAGATCATTTACATACAATTATACATTTTTAATATTTAATCGGTCATAAAATGCTCATTAAAAAGATATAAAATAAGTTATTTTTAAAAGTATTATCTTCACACAATTCGTAATTTTATTTGCAATGATAATTAAGGTACAACATATATAAAGAGATATATCAATTATCAGAATGTGTAACACTTCCATGCTGATAGTTGTTTACAAAGTAAGAATAACGAGAGAACCGGTCAATATCAGAAAGAATACAATCAATTTTGATACATCCGAATATCGATTTAACATGCCTTTTTAAAAACAGATTATATACATATAAGTTCTCTTCACGCATTTCGAACTCGATTATTGATCTCTTCGATCGAATACTACGGTTGAAAAATATACGAATGGATATTATTATGTTTTTTCATAATTTGAAAATATTTTCTTTCGTTTCTTACTTTTTCAGTTTTCTGAAATTCGTTTATTTCAAACGTGCTATTATAATTCCATTGGAAATTTCATCTGGGATTAGCTGTAAGCTTGAGATTCATGTGGCGAGTACAGACGTGCCGGAAGACACGCGGAAACGCGAGATCAAACAGCGCAACGTGCACAGGTGTTAATTAAGGCAGAAACAGACTTCGGATGAAAAGTCACGGCTACATAATAACGTGTTTAGCTCGCCTTTCTGCAAATTCATCGCGTAACGCGTAATCAGGTCGCGGTGAACCAAACGGGAGAAAGCGAAGCAAGTTGAAAAGGAACCCTTTTCGGGTTTCTCTCGGAGAGACTTAATATATTCGAGATGAAATTCCATTTCGTACAAGAACACGAGGCGGCTCAGTTTCTCGAGATGCCTGAGCGAAAATGGCAAAAAAGAAATCTTCAATTCGAGAAGAGTATCCGTTTTTATCGACAGCCGTTTCCCCCCGGAGTTCAAGGTCAATTTTTGTTCGGTAAAATCCGAGTCCGTCGGCGTGTACCTGGAAAACCGTCCTTGGAGAACGGAAGTTCGTAAATCACCCATTCAGGGGAATAAGGCACGTTCCGTCGGCGACGATGAAATGTGCAAACGAGTCGACGATGCTCAGGGGACATCCCACGTGTCGCGACCGCGATGCATACATACGCGCTCGTCGCGCGTTGATGATCCCACGAGGCCGCATTCCGTCGGTCGTCGTCGAGTTTCAATAGACGGCACTTTTCATGCGGAACGTGTAGAATCCGCAGATATAATCGCCTCGGTGCGTCCGGTGCGTCATACTACAGCCGCGTCTCGATTATTACGGCCCGGCGCGTTTACGGCGTCTCGTATCTAGCGCGAAATGTAGGCGTTCGATCGCACCTTTTATCTATCTCTAACGTCGAAGCCACGTCGAGTCGTCGTCGCATGCAGCCATCAGTTGCAATCTGATTACAGCCGCAGCCTGAGAGCCGAGCCTTCAAGTATTCAACGCCGGCGCGCGATGATAAATTTAACGACGAGTGCGCGGTAAAAAAAAAATCGAGAGGAATCTTTCGCGCGGTAAGAAATTACGAGGGAATAATAATAATAGTCACGCGAAGAAATTACCATTCCATAAAAATGGGGAGAAAAATTCTCTTTAAAAGCAATTTCTATGCGAAAGCAACAACATGCAGATAAGGGGTTTTAGATAAGAAAGTTAAGGTTCGATAATAATAATAATAATAAAAAAAAATCAAGACGGTAGTTCGGCGAGGAGTTGCATAATTTAAATTCGCAAATTCAAATTCGCGCTTTGTTCTCCTACGCTTCCTCGAATTCTATCAATTGCTTGCGAAACGTTGCGTTTGCAACGAGGCGTGTCATCCGGCCACCCCGTAGATGCGCCTACGAGAGAACTCGAGATTTATATTTTATATCTGGCTATATCAGAGCTGGTGGTCCGACGAAGCGCTTACGCGCAATTTGCACAGAATACCCGTATCATTCTTTCGTTCTCCGATTCCCGATACCACTCGGCGCTGATTATCGCCGCGTTTGTACTCTTCTTCACCGTACTTCCCCCCCCCTCTCCCCCCTCTCTCCCCCGCGAATTTATACTCCACGGACTGTACTCTCGCTTAACGCGCTAACGTAGCTTTGACAGCGTACTGCTCGGCCCTTGGAAATTATTTCCATCCTTCAAGCCGTCGTAAACCGACGGCTGTATCATAGAGACCGGGGGAAATATATGACTGAAACTTTTATCGCCTCGACGTAATAACATCGCGGATTTTGCGACTGGGACAGCTCTCAAGTTTCATTATTTCATTTTCATGTTCTCCGATTTCTTTCCGACCGAAAAGATACAAGAAAAGATACAGGATGTGTCAAAAGGATTTTGGATACGAGTCGAATGTCTCTGTAAATAATTTAATTTTGAAAAAAAGTTTCAGATCCAAATTGTAAGATTTCAAGGGGGCTATATGATTATGATTTTGATTTATTTACAGAGGGAGCCATTATCCAGATTTTTTTATGATCGTCTCTTTTTTTTAAATGAAAGCATATTTTTTTGTTATATAATATGATTTCTCTAGTTATTCTGGATGAAAGAATATCAAGATACAAATATCAAAAAGTCCAGTAGTTTATAAGATATTTTATATTTTGTTCTCGCATATTGTGACATAAAATATAAAATATTTCATAAACTATTCATTTTTTAATATATCCTAATACCATTTTGCACAGACTAATCGATTGATGTAGAGAAAGCATGCAGTTGTTTTTCAAAAAAGGTATATATTCTAAATGCATAATTTTTTTTAAAGCAACTATATACCTTTTTCAATATCAATTAATTAATCTCATTAGTCTATGTATAAAAATATTAAGATACAATTATCAAAAAATAAATAATTTGAGATAAATGAATAATTTTTTAAATAAAACAAGAATAAAATATAGAATGTCACGTAAACTACTGACTCCTTAATATTTATATTTTAATATTTTCTTATCCAGAATAACTAAGGAAATCGTACTATGTAACAAAAAAATATAAAACAATATCATAATTATATAATCTTTTCGAAACTTTACAACTTTTGTCTGAAACAACTTTTTTTCAATCGCATTGTTTATAAAATATTCAAACTGTATCCAAACTTTTGGCGTATTCTGTACATTTTATGATACTCTGTTATTGTACAACAAGTTTTTCTTTTATTTATTTATGTGGAAATATATGTCTAATATATTTATATATTTATTATCCGTACTTTTCTCTTTACATCGATCCCCAACTACGATTGCGCGAGGCGATTCATTCGAGATTCTTGTGGCGTGTCGCGTCGCTCTCGCGATTCATTTGCGATTCCTGAATCGTATCCGATCGGGTTGCCACGCGCGTGTTTACGTCCACGTAGGAAACACCTTGGTCTCGGCACGAAAACCCAGTTAGTGAACGAGCTGAATCGCGCCGTGCGGAGACATCCTCGAGTTTGCGCGCACGCGAGTCAACCTCGCGTTAAATCCTCGGAAACGACGATGGTGACTGACGTTATCGTGGAACATCGAGTTTATGTATCCCGTCGTAGAGGATAACCAAGGAAAAAGTATCATCCAGTATAGGAGTTATATGGAATAAAAGAATCCCTCCTACAAACTGCAATTGAAGATTATCGAAAGATCATTTGATGTAATTTCCTTTTCTAACTGGAATTATTATATCTCGTTGTACGACCATCTTTCAAAGATGGATTACATGAGATTTGAAGAACTTATGTCACTTTTTTTTAGATGACATACACGCACGGACAGTTTTACTGAAATATCTAAAAATTTGATCATAAAGATCTAAAAATAAAATTTTATTAAGCCATGAAAATAAATATGTACGATGCTTGAAACATGATGATAATATTGTAAAAATTTTTGATTCTAGCAATCAATTTAAACGTTTTACTTAATTATTTTGATGATACAACATAATTATTTTCAAATGTGTATTTAATTAAATTTTTAAATATTTTAACAAAAGTTCTTTCTGTATACATCATCTACAACGATTTTGCCATTTCTTAATAACAATTCTGAATTTATCCTGTTAATTTACTGATAATTATGTCATGATTTTTTTGTGTTGTTTATTATTCTGAAGTAATTTTCAATGTTTTTATCGAGAAGAGACTTTTATTCCTTGATCGTTTGAATACGAAAAAAAACAGCTAAAAAATCTAAAAATTTGACAAAATACAAATCTGAAAAATAATAACTTTGTTGGACCATCAAAATAATTATGTAGGCCGTTCAAATTGGTTGTTATTACGAAATACAAAAAAAATGTGCAATAGTATCATCATGTTTAAACATAATAATTTTGATAGCCCAATAAAATTTTTTAGATCTATATCTGGCCAAATTTTTAAATCTTTTATGCCCGATTCCACCAATGTATTAATTTACTTTAATATCGATCTAATTTGTTTTTCATCTTTTTCTAATTCTTAGAACTAGAAAAAGATGAAAAATAAATTAAACCGAGATTAAAGTTAATCTACGTTGGTGGAATCGTGCATTAGCAAAACTGTTTTTTCCCTGAAAAAGAAAATTTTGAGTATGAGCATATTCTGATATTATCACTTCTTGGACCTTACTTCACTATTGTTTAGAAAGTATAGTATATTTAATAAATAATTTAAAAATAAATTATTCCTATTATCTTTTGAAACAAACTTTGTACACATTATTTCTACATTTTTACAACATTATAATTAATACATGAAATTTATGATTTATATAATATATGATATTTATGTTTTGTACATTATTTCATTTTTTATTTCAATTAATCGTTTGTTATTATTTAATTTGCATTGATAAAGATGTCTTACTTATTGTTACTGTAATAATCGAAATATCAAAACTTACCCTGCAGCAAAAATCCATGCAGCGCGAGGTTCATGGCTACAATATGATTGATTTCTTCAGCCTATAAAAAAACAATGCTAAAATCAGGGAGTTGTTGCAAAACAAAATAAATATATTATTATTATATTATATTTCATAATACATTAATTTTGTTATTATCATTAAGAAATTAAAATTCGTATTTCGCTTTTTAAATGTTGGCATCATTTTATGTATTTTTCTTGTTAGATACATAATTCTATCGTTTCTGATATTCTCCCATCTCTATTTCTTATTTCTTATATCTGTGAGCAATTGTAATGTCTGTATTAAAAATACAATCTTTTTTACGTAAGTTTGTCTAACTGACAAGAAAAGATTTTCAATTTAAAAATTTAAAAAATTATGTAGCTTTTATAGCAGCACAGAGAGGATTTGTAAGATGCCATTTTAGCTTGTTATCCGAATTCATTGTAAAGAATAAAATAAACTCAAACAAAAATGTCTTCTTGATTTTATTGTATTATTTATTTTTATAATTCATTTATAAACTAAATGAAAGAGAAGGAGGAGGGAGAGAGAACATTTTATTTAAAAATTTTATTTTTATTTAATGGTATTTATTAATTAATTAATTATATAAAGATTTATAAAAAATGTATAAATAAAAGAAGAATGTGATGTTTAATATACTTATATTTTTATCATCATTACTTTATAATACACTAATACTTTTATTAACTTCTATTACATATAGAGTGACTAAAGAGTACCAAACTTTGACAAACTTTGACAAACTTTGACAAACACTTGGAAAAACATGTTTCACACCAAGAGAATGAAAACATATTATGTGAACAGCTATGGAAAAATTTACTTCAGAAACACTGTTGAATTATCAGCAACTACAAACATTTCGCGAGGTCATATTATAGGAGTTGTTGCGAAACAATCCAAAACTCCGAGGCGTATTCGGTATATTAGCGTATTCGGGGAGTCAATGCGACGACGAATTGAAATTTGTATTCGTACTGACGTTGGATATCTTGGGACAGTTTTTATATATTACTCTACCTCGAAAGATCGCAACCTTCTGCTCTTATGTATGCTATCTATTTCTTAATAGATAGCTCTGTTTCTATGGGTTTTAATAATTAAGATTATCAGTAAGTGTGAATATCAAACGCTATTGAAAATAAATGATCTGGCAAATAATTTTTAAGCAATTTTACCTTCTACATGGAAGAAACAATTTTGCTGAAGTAAACAATTGTAGGTCTAAAAATAATTTTGTTAGACTATCGAAAAATAAGAGTACTCAAATTGATTGTTAGAATAGAAAAAATTTATACAATATTAATATTATGTTTAAGCATGTTATGCATTATGCATTATTATGTTATGTATTATTATATTAAGCATTCTATTATTTGAATAGCCTAACATAATTATTTTCAAATCTGTATCTGGCCATATTTTTAAATATGTACTTCAGCAAAACTGTACGTATATCCTTACAATTTTTAAATAAAACCTTTTTATTTTTTTTGTTAATAAATAATAAAATAAAAACAAGAAATGACTTATGAATTTATTTTCGTTCGAATTTAAATTCGAACAGCAAATAATAATAACACATTATTAAAAAACCTCTGTGTTGCCAAAATTTAATATTTTAAATTTCCGTGTTGGAGATCTTTTTTTATAAAAAGTCCTAATTTTAAAAAATTAATGGATTCAGGAAGTTGCTAATGTATCAAGAAAGAAAAGATTAATCGGTCAATTTATTTAATTCAAAGAATGTATCTGACAGATTTAAGATTTGATAATGGCTGTACTTGATCATTGTATTTGCGCTATCCTGACCTCATAATTCTCTTTTTCTGTGAAACGATTAGTTAGTAAAATTTGATACATGCAAGCCAAGTATGTGCGAGGATGTTACATCAAAAGAAAAAAATAGGCGATTTAATATCCAATAAATTTCCAAATTTATTGGATATATAATTATAAGCAAATGTTTTTGTACAATTATATGAATAATTTATAATTTGGCAGATGCCGGAGTAGTCATCTAGTTTTCTATGGAATTTGCATTCTAACGGTTTCCATAGCGGTATTAGCATGTCACTTTATCACCTGGAAGATGACTAGGCATTGAGAAATGCATGTACAATGTCTTCGTCAATAAGAATCTATCGTTGCTCTGCTGCAACGAGATAATACCGATAGTATTGTTTACTATGTTAGGAAAGGCAATGTTCCAGCGCAGACGCGAATTGAAGAGCGTCCAAGAAACTCTATGTTAGAAATGTGCCTAAGTGTACAGTTCTAGTGATTCCTCGAGCATCAATGTCGCAATCAATATTGCAAAAGGAAGATTCGCAACCGATTCCAATGACACAGCAGAAGCAGCAGCAAAAGTGCGGCGGGTATGCAAAACTAAAAACTTCACTATACAACGAATAACGCCAATCGATCTCTTTTGTTGACAACGCCAAATGTTGCTACCAATCAAATCGATGGTCTAGCTGTCAGCCGGCTGTATTGCGTATTCTGAAAACCGTCATACTGATATTTGTTGAGAAAGAAAATGGATAAGGGTAGCAGCGGTTTACAACAAATTGCGACCATTGTACACTGTCGCCATAATTCCTTCTAGTAAACATGATGAACGATAGGCGAAAAAAGAAAAAGTAGTCAAAATTGACATTTGTTGAGTTTGGTATTGTAAATCTGAAATGCGAGTTAGCAGATGATAAGTTTCAATCACATGATCTTTGAGCAAACAGAGGAGAGAGATTAATTCTAAACAATTCCGAGCCATCATATTAAGATTAAAATTAGGCAAATTGAAAAATGTAATAAAATATTAATTTTATAATAAATAATTTTCATTATTAATTTTGAGAAATATTTTTTAATGCTAATGACGATGAAGATGAAAATTTAAATGTTCCTAAAATTTATCAACATGCAGAAAAAAATGTTTTTCGTTTCTTAGATAAGATATTTTAAATGCATTTTCAAATCATCATCTGCTTTTAAAGAATTGCTTACAAAAATTTATAACATCGTATGTATAATTATGATACGTATTGAACACAAACCGCTCCCATTAGAAAAACAGCTAATGATTATCATGTGTGTTTAGCAAATATTGTATTTTTCCGATAAGTTTCTATAAATTGCCATAACATCATATAAAGAGATTTAAGTATCTATAATTGAAAGAAAACTTATCAATTTTATACTAATTGTGTAGATTAAGCAAAAAGACCTATAAATACTTCTGTCTATCATGCAACACATATAGATTAAAAGAAGAATGAACGATGTATAATTAAGAGTAAAATTCGGCGAAAAATCAAATCAAGTCGGATTTCTGAATTTATCTTGAATGATTTTGAATTTATCTTGAATGAATCAGATAATGACAAGGAATTGTAAAGAAATAAAAGCAGTACAAGAATATCCTATTCCGGAAAGTGGGAATGAAGAAGAAGACGAAGATTACATTCGCATATGAACAAGAAAAGCAAGAATAAAATTTTCACTATTGTTAAAATGTTTTTTAACGCTACAGATAATTGATGTCAGAGAAAGTACAATAATCAAATGATCTGACCTGACTTGACCTAATCTAATCGAAATTTATGATCGTTTGGATTGGATCAATAAAGAATACTTAACAATACTACGTACTATTGTAATCTGCATGAGCAGATTTGACATGTAATCTTACGATGAAACAAAAATACGATTTAATTTATTTTTATCTACGAAAATTCTTGATAAGATTTTAATTAAATATCAATATATGATAGAATAATACGACACAATATATTAATAATATAAATATCATCAAATATATCTTTTAGGTAATTTAATAGATAATTAGGATATTTTTTAAAGATTTGGAAGATTTGGAATAAACTATCACGATGCATATTTTCAAAGAAAGAAAGAAAGATGATTTGTATTTTTTTAGATTCAGCTCTATATATATGAGTTGAATGACTTAATCACGTTTATTACTTGAGATATATATGACATTATTACAAGTGCGTTAAATTGGACTTGGATTGCATCAATAAAATTAACTTTATGAAGTAGCAAGACGAAAATACCTCCAAAACTATTTATGCAGTCAAATTCGCGTAATAAAAATGTCTTATTGTCCATGATAAAAGCCAAATTACTTTTTTTGATATTCATAATAATTTACATATATAAAAATTTAAATTATGTCTAATAATGTCAGCCTTTTTATTACTTATATAAATGTAAAATGTAAAACCGCGAAAGTTTGATAAAGTTACAGACGCACTGGCGTTTTTAAATTATATACGTACTGTATCAAAGAAATTTCCGAAGTGAAGAAGCTAACGATGAAAGTCTGCGACAAGTAGCAAGTCAGTATTTAAATCATCGACTATAATAGATGTAGACATTAAGAGATTATAATTCGTTAGCTAGTTTTTAAATGTTAGCGTCACTCTGTTTGCTTTTTTTTTATTATATTAATCATTTTATAATTTTTTCCACTTCCGCATCATTCCACTTTTTTTTTGTATGTATCGTGGATAGTCATAATTTCTGTGTTAAAAATAAAGTTCTTTTCTGCAAGTTTATCTATTTAATCACGATCTCAGCAATTACAATCATATACATAAATTTCTATCAAATTTATTGAAATACAAAACTCTACGGAAATATTTATATATTTTTAATAGTCCACGTAACGGATCATAAAATTGTTTCACTAACAGAGAAAGCCCTTCGTGTGTCAAATATAATACATAGGAAACACACGATGTCAACGTCAAAACGCTAATATCATTCTAACAATTTGCTCTCGGATGATAATAACGTAATAACTGGGCATGCTAATTGCTACTAAATCGCCCGGAGGCGTAAAGAAATTAACCGAGGTAAATAAACTCGTCCCGCCACGCCGGTCCGCCGGTCTTTGTATGCTCTTGCTGACGGTTAGTAGTTTCAAAGGACGTGTGACATCTCTATCGTCAGTGTCAATATTTGCCTGGAAGTCTCGGCACGAGAAGAGGAACAAACGCCGTC